ATAAAGACATATTCATAATATTTAATAAAGAAGTGCTAATTAATGGAAAAACTTCCTTCAACAGCTTAGTTGGAATTGGGTCTAACATGCACGTTGATGGTTTAGAAGAGAGAATCATTGAATTTAATTGTTCAAGGTTAATGGCTGAAAAGCATTCTAGTTTACTATCTAGTGTAATAATAGAACTTACGTTTCCGGGAGCTGTTGATAACACTATACTGGTCAAATGCAAGAGGTCATTAATTTTGTTTCTAAGAGTAACAATTTTATCGTTAAAAAAGCACATAAAATCATTACTACTGAGTGCTATGGGAATAGAAGGCTCAATCGAGCTGTGGCTCTCTGTCAGCCTGGCTACAGTGCTGAAAATAAATCTTGCATTATTCTTATTCTCATCTATTAATGAAGAGTAGTAGGCTGCTCTCGCTTTACGCAGTGCTTTCTTATATTCATTGAGAGTAATATGCCAAATTAAACGAGATTCTTCAAGTTTAGTGGAACGCCATATCCTTTCAAGTTGTCTCGACTTTTGCTTTATTTTGCGGGTTTCGGCATTATGCAAATGTAAACACACTACTAATAGAAATACATTGCTTTTAAAATCGTTCTGTGTGACATGAAAAAAGGGGAAAATCGTGTTGGTGAACACGAATTAATAGATTAAATGTCGTGACTATAACACAAAATGCAGTGAGACTGGGTTGCACACACACACACAGACACACACACACACACACTCACACACTCACGAATACACAGGTAATGACTTGTAGCTACTGTATAGGGAATTAATTGTAAAGCTTGGAAATTAGCATCTTAGCACGTCCGGTTCCGTCGTCAACTTTTATTTTTGACATGTGTTTTATTTAAATGTCTGAAATAAGGTCTGTGGTTAACACAAGCTTACTAAATGTTCACGTCTATTCTATGACAAAGAATACATCAGTAAATACCCCATTGGTAAATGTCTGGAGCTTCATTGTGTCATAAAAACTTGGGTTGCTAACAAGTGGCTAAATGAGGCTACTTAACGTCATCATGCTTCCCATTAGCCACCTTTAGCTTAGCGGTGGTGTTGCTCATCAATGCGACTGTGATGCAGTTCCGTCATAGCTTCATAACGTTAGCTTTTCTCTTCTGTATTTACACTTCAAAAATCATAAAGGGGTGCTAATATGTGGAGATTATTCTGCTGAACAATATATGTAACATAAACATGTGTTTGCCATTCTTTGCAATCCAATGAAACATCCCATAGATTTTTGTTCAGGGATTCCTAGTGATGCTAACTTCCAGGTCCGTCTACAGCAGGGGTGGCCAACCCGCGGCTCTCGAGCCGCATGCGGCTCTTTGCCTAGTTTCATGCGGCTCTTCAGTTCATATCGAATTGTATATGTGTGAGTTTGGGGGAGAGACATTGACTCCTGACTAGTGTTGCACGATGTACCAATACTTGAAAGGTACCGCGATACCCTGCCGTTAAAAACGTTAAGATTCCGCCGTTTCATTAGTATCGGTACTTTAAGAATGACGGGGAAAAGTACTCCGGTGAGAAAGCGCCGTTTTAATAAGAGCCGTGTGTGTTCAGCGCTCTGCTTCCACTCCCTGCACTGCAGCCTTGCCTGCAGTCCCTCCCTCTCAAGCACGCTCTAAGTCCCTCCCCTCTCAAGCACGCTCTAAGTCCCTCCCCTCTCAAGCACGCTCTAAGTGCCTCCCCTCTCTCGTGCACGCGCTAGCTGCCAGAGCATGTGAGAAAACGAGAAGCATGGCTGCAAGTGGGAGTGCAGCTGCCGCTGCGCCTCGGCTTGTTGACAAAAAAGACGCCAGAAGCGAAATTTGGAAGTATTTGAGCTATATCTCTGACAGTGAGGGCAAGCCTACGGACACCACGAGGCCTGTCTGTGAGACATGTATTAATTTTATTTAATACGAATTCTTGTCATTTATTTTATTTATTGTTCTCATTGTTTAAAAGGTTATGTTATGGTTATGGTTCTGGTGTGAAATAAAGCACAATAATTACATTTAAGACTGTTTCCCTTTATTTAAGAAAAGTATCAAAAAAGAATCGGAATCGCAATTCTTGACTTGGTATCGAAACCAAAATGTTGGTACCGTGACAACACTAGCTACTCCTGACAGTTAAACCTGATATTTAGTAGGTCTGTTAAGTATTGAATGCTGATAATTCTGACGTAATTTGGCTGGTCAAAGTTGTTTGGGCTCGGATAAAATCGCTCTGTTACTTTCGTCCCGTGTTACTTTCGTCCCGTGTTACTTTCGTCCCGGCTCTCCCTATGTGTGTATGTGTGGTGTCAGGTGTCAGTATGAGAGGATGACAGCGCGTCTAATTTTGATGTGACCCAAGAGCCAATCACAATAATACCTGCGATGCAGTGAACCAATCACCTTTGAGGGGGGGAAAACCTATCGTTGATTAAACACTATCCAGTGTTTCCCCTACCATTGTGTTGGAGGGGCGCTGCGCCCCGCCAACGGAGCCCCGCGCCCCCCCCTGAAATTCAAGGTGTTTCAAAAATATATATAATATATATTTTTTAAATATATATATAGCACCAAATTGCAAATAATCTATAACTACTGTCACTTTTCACATTGAACATGTGCTCTTTTATTAAATAAACTAAACGCTTTCATTTTAAGTTGTGAGTTTAGTGTTTTTGACCCTAAGAAACACTGATGCAATAATCAATAACAATAATCCACAGCTCCTCTCTCTGCTCCAGAGGATTTAAAAAATATATATCCCAATGCCACAAAGATGCATCAGTGACGTGGTTGAAATCTTGTCTCCAGAAAACAAAAAACTGAAACAAGCGTTATCAGTGACTGTGTGTTTGATGTGGCTCTTTGCAGTAACATAGAAAAAATGTGGCTCTTAACCTCTGACTGGTTGGCCACCCCTGGTCTACAGGAATACATCATCACTGCACCACTGTATTGTGCCTTGTTTAAAGTGTGGACTTCTGAGCAGTGCTTACAGAATAAACATCTTCCTCAGTTCAGTTCTATCATGATATATGTTGTATGTATATTATAACATTTGATTGTTGCAGCTGGTCCTATGTCTAACTACTTTATATAGTTGGATAGTTTAATCTATGAGGGGACAAACGTAGCTAGAGACAAAATCAGATCTTTCATCAGCCCTTCCCTGTCCACATATTTCAAAGTCTACATCGACACTGCAAATTTGGCAAACAGTTGGAACAGGAATAACAGAACCACTAGTGCTCTTATTTTATTCATGTTTTTTTAGGGGGGGCACAAGAACCATATTGGAGAGAAAAACGTAATTGGAATAAATATGAAAAACCTGCAGTGTGGGATTGTTTCCCACCTGTCTGACTGCATAGAGTGTTAGGTAATGTAAGGTCATTTGGTTCCTCTCTGGCCCATACACCATCCTCCTGCAGCAGAGAGCTCAGGTGTACAACACTGAGGCTCTGTTCTGATGCTGCAGTGAAAGTGAGCAGCATGCCGATACCAGGAACATGAAACCAAAACAGCCACATGGAATTCAGACGTCATTCATGTTAATGTTTACATCTGGGTTTCAAAAGTCAAAAGACATAGGGGTAAGACAAGATAAGTCTGTACTTCTTCCTACTCCTATTTCAGATATTTAGTATGTATTTGGTTTGTTTAGGTCTACATTTCATCAAGAGTTTGCTCTTTGTTCAATGTTCATTTTGTGAGTGTGGTATCCGCTTTTTGTAATGACTAACTGTAATATGACAATGGTGAAGAAACACTTCTCACAATATATTTCATATATAAAAAAGACATTTTATATTTGATACTTAAATAATTGGGAGTCAGGATCATTCAGAGGTTAATGCGAATATTTGCACATGTTCTATCCATTGTCAGTTATCATGTTATCATGTTTCTTGTCTTTGCTGACCCTGCCCCAGCAAAATGTAATGTAAACATTTCAAATGACCTCCTCATAGGCTCTTCTGCTCTGCGAGGCGTGGATTCCTTGGTCTGTTCCCAGTGAAGTAACAAGAACAACTTTTTAATACAGATCTGTTTGAATTTGCTTTGTCTCTTATAAAGAGGCATCAATATTTTATAGAGAAAGAGCAAAAGTTCTTTGTAAATAATTTTTCATTGCATTTATGGCCAAAATGATGAAAACAAACTCAAAGAAATAAGTAAATAGTGTCATGTTTAACCCCTTACAATTATTGAGTTTGTTACAGAATTGGTGTAAAAAGTGTTACATTTGGAAGTTTTTATTTTTAAGGAAAGTTTCTGAAAACCCTTTGAAAAGTCTCTATTCTCTGACGGTCAGGCCTTTACTCGTCACTTCCAGTTTGTTGGTTAAATAGTACAGTCATATGAGGGCAGGCTGCTGCAATAACAATGTTAATGCTAATGCTAATGAGGGCAGCTCACATAAAATCCTTTTTCCGAATGTCGTCACTAAACATGATGAGACGCTGCACAGATGGACAAAGACCGTCACGCCTCTCTCCCTCCCTCCCTCCCACACACACACACACACACACACACACACACACACACACACACACACACACTCACGCACGCACGCACACACACACACACACGCACACATGCACACACACGCACGCACACTCATGCACGCACACACGCACGCACGCACGCACACACACACACGCACATATACACACGCACATGCACACACACACGCACGCACACGCGCACACACACACACACTCACACACGCACACACACACACACACACACACACGCACACATGCACACACACGCACGCACACACACACACTCATGCACGCACACACGCACGCACGCACGCACGCACACACACACACACGCACACATGCACACACACACGCACGCACATGCACACACACACACACACACACACACACACACACACACACACACAGTGGGTGAGGTCTGGGCGTGACAGCCTCCGTCAGGAATGCAGTAGTGTGTGTTTTGAACTCTCCATACTCTCTCCCGGGCTGATCTGTCAGTTTTTCTGAATGTCCTGACAGACACACACTGACACCTCTCATTGAATCAGAATGGAAACAGGAAAAGAGGAACACAGAGACGAGGGTCTGTGCTGTACGGATACACGAAGACAATGACAGAGGATTTGATTTTCCGAGACACCTGTGGGGTTCTGACAAACTAGTTCTTGGTGACTTATTTCGCTCATGGATTTATTCTTTTCCCTAACACTTTCTAACTGAAAAAACGTCTTGTGGATTACATTTGCAACATTTTGAATTCAACTCTCAAAGACTTTTAGTTTCAGATTTGTATCTATTTATGTTCATTGCAGCTTAAAATCTGAGTCCATTTCAGCATCACTATTTGACTTTTACTACCTTTTTTAATATTGTATTTCTTTGTATCATAAAAATACACTTAGATATACTGTCAGAAGAAGTCCAGGGTAGTGTTCAGGGATAATTAGCTTTTGAAAAGCTGTAATGTCGTTGGATTTTTAGCTACAGTGACAGCAGAGAGATCTGATCTGACACCTGACACGCTGCTGGAGCAACATGGCCTCTTGCTGCAGCGCATAGACGGGGTCACACAGGTAAGGAGAATCCGAAGATTTATGTAGAGGAAGAGGGACTATAGGGCAAATTACACCATGTATTTAAAAAGAATTATCGTCTGTAATTTGTAACATCTTTGTCCCATTTTAATACTTTACAATACAGCTCACAATTTACATTTGAATAGATAACTAATCAGGTAAAAGTACAAAAGTAACTGGGTCCAAACATATACTTCAAAATGGTGATAAAAGAGCCCAAAGTGACAACTATAGAAGAGGAAGCAGAAACTCTTTATATTTGAGAAGTATAAAGCATGTTTATTTTTATGTGAACATCATTCACATGAACTTTAAAGTTGCTCCTATATTTATATATATCTAATTCCTATATATTTTCTGGGCTAAATTCTTAATTTATAATGTAACTAAAGCTAAAAAGTATATATTTTGCTTAAATTATATACACTCTTAAATATATATCTAAACAGCATAATAAATTACTCAAGGAAGTACAAGTACCTACAAATTCTAAGTAAGTAAATGTGATGTCATTTTACATTTCAACTCTGTTTTTAATGTAAATGCAGAGGAAGAAATGTTAGACTGTAGGGAAAAAGGTAATACCATTGGGCATTCTATTGGAAAGAAGAAATACATGATTCTGCTGAATCTATGAAGTAATAATACTATAACATAATTCATAGACTGTATGATTTAATTGTATGCGACATGGTAGCTTCTATTTAAACAGCTGTGAGGAGGTACCAACATGTAATGTTGTTTTTACATGATTATGAACCATTTAAATCAGTCATTTGCAGGTTTCATAGTTTCAAAATTGTGCAGAGATATTTTGGGCACATTTGGTTTAAGATTAAGAGCGCACAACCAAAAAGTGTTTGTGCGAAAGTGTTGAGAAAAGAACACTCACGGGTTCTTGACCAAAATAATGGTGACTGTACCTCTGACTATAACATTTAACGTTATTTGGGACATTATTAGAACGATCTGATCAAAGTAATGGTCCCTTACACTCACCGTCCTCCTGCATGAAATACTCACTGTTTAAGTAACATTTGCTGAATTCTACAATGACCAGCTGCTTTTGAGTCTTTTAAAAGAAATGAACCACATATTGATGAACGGTCTGTTCTCCTTAGCAGCAGTCTGTTAGCAGGAATAAATAACCTCTGGAACGTCAAAATTCACCTATTAGACCTGAGTATTTAACTAAGCTGTGTCGTAAATCATAACTGTTGAGAATCCCCACTTAAAACCACACATCACTGCAGTGTATTTCCTCATAACTTAAAAAAGGTATTTCTTGTTACTTTGTACCATCAAAGTAGTGTTTCATCTACACTGAAACTGTTGTTCACGCTCCAACATACCAAAGTGCTGTTCCTATCATAAGACTAGCCTTATATAAATGATCAGACACTGATAGAGGAGCACCTGGCCACACCTCATGACTCAGCTGGGTGAAAAACAAGTCTTCCAGTCAATCACACCCAGGTGATTGTGTGTGTTGTTTGTGTGGGTGATCCTGTTTGTGTTGATGGATAGACGATATGTGTCAATGCATGTTAATCCCAATTGTATGTGTGATGTTTCCGAGTTGAAAGTATACAACAGCGTGCATGATAACTCTGTGGTAATAATGCATGGATATTAGTTATCGGTTTTTACATTACTTGACATTTAGCTGTAGAAGGGATGAGTACCGAACCATAGACCAGGGTTGTCCAAACTACGGCCCAGGGGCCAACTGCGGCCTATGGTCCATTTTAAATTGTCCCGCAGCAAATTTTAAAAGTATAATGTAATACGGCCCACACGTGAAACTTGTGTTTGTCTTTCATTGCACTCTTAAATGTATATTTAAAAATATATTCCACAGTATTCATTGTTGTGTTTGTGTTAATAAGCTCACCTTTTCTTATACATTCAGTCATTAAAGTCAATAATTTATTTTCATAAAAAGTTTGAAATATCCCCTAATCTCACATGGCCACATGCACAGTTTGACTTGCTGTAATTACTCACCCTGTCCTTTGGGTCATTAGGAGATCCCAACCCAACATGCCTCCAATGGAATGACAAACAATCCTCACTTGTCCTCCAACAGGTTTAACGCTATTCATTGGACTTCTAGGTCTAGTTGTATGGAATACTTTGTAGAAGGGCATCCTGTATACATCTATTGTATTGTATATATTGTATTGTATGTAGTCAATCAATGTCATGTGGTCATTTAGTATATTGCTTCATGTTCTCAGAAATAGAGGACACATTGGCACATTACAAATAGTCCCTGTTTTGGCATAAAGTATAATAATTGAAATTAAAGTTAAGAAAAGGTTTTCTCCACCTGTATCATGTCTGTTTTTAATTTCTGTCGTTGTTTTCAAGCCTGTTTTGATTGTTTCACCTAGCCTTATTAGTTCCACCTGTTGGTTTTTGTTAAGTCAGAGTCCTTTTTGTAGTAGATCGCCAAGTTATGTTGTGACTGGACAAAGCCTTTAAATAAAGAGTATCTGTGATCTGCAGTTAGATCCTTGCTCCGCTTTCTGTGACAGATCTGTCAAAGGACAGGAGCAGATACTCTCAACAGAAACTGTCTTTATTTAAAGGCTTGGTCCAGAGGAGGCAAGGCAAAACAGAACCCAACAGAACAGAACCTCTCGATGTATGACAAACAAGAATCTGACTTCACAATAAATAGGAGGTCAGGTGGTTCCAGGGCAAATGGGGGACAGGTGAAACTGATAAGACCAGGACAGACAATCAAGACAGACGGGAAAAACCAAGGTTGTTTTAAGAAAACGTTCATTCCCATGAATGTCGCTCAGTGGCACATGAAGCAAGTATGGCCTCTTGAGAACAAACACCCCGGATCTTCCCTGGTTTATTCTTGCAAGCTTCCACATCCTTGGCGCCAATACAGCATGTGTTTTCATTAAGCCCCGCCTTGCATCTCATAAGACAAACCTCATGAAAATAGAAGTTACTGCAAAATGCACCAGGATCAATAACATTGATTTATAGTTATTGTCTTGACTCAATAGTTGTAACCATGGCGTCCCGGATGAAGCAGCCCCAGGGACGTGGCATATCCTCTATATTTTCTTGCTGCTTTAAAGGTAGTGAACAACCAGAGATCACCTACTGTCATGACAACCCCAACAATGCTGCTGTACTGGAGCCCACCCTGCCAATGCCCCCCCTTCCAGAGCTGGACTCTCTATTCACTGAGCTGGTGGTGAGTCGACGCTCCCAACACTGGGTGTTCTACTCCATGTGCATTCAAACATCGGTCATTCACCCATCTCTCCTTTCTCCTGTCCCAGGGTGAACTGGACCTCACAGCTGAAAACAGAGCCGCCATGTTTTCTTTGCCAGCACAGACAAAATGGCAGATCTACTGTGGCAAGAAACTGGTAAGAAATGATTACTACCCATCAATCAATCAGTATTGGAAATGATGGGTATCATGAGCCTTTGGCAGCTGCTTTCACTTAGGTAATAGATGTTAAAGTTGCTCATCCTTACATATACAAATCCCATCATGGAAGTGTCATGTTCACATATTAATTGTAATTCTGTCAATTTTGGAGCAGCTGCAGCTTCCCATGTTCTATTCTTTTGATATTGATATATTCTTTGGCTTATGAGCAACATAACACATGGATTTGGATTTTACAGTACTATATGTAAGCATATCCATTACTGTACGCTGTGTGTGTGTGTGTGTGTGTGTGTGTGTGTGTGTGTGTGTGTGTGTGTGTGTGTGTGTGTGTGTGTGTGTGTGTGTGTGTGTGTGTGTGTGTGTGTGTGTGTGTGTGTGTTGCAGGAGGCAGAGGAGAACGCCTCAACCAGATGGCCAGAGTATTACATTGACCAGCTCAGGTCCCTGGCTGCTGTGAGTTACACTGCCCACTTTTTATCCATGACACAGGTAGAGAGCTTTGATTGAATACCACTCTTAACAAAATGTATAAAAAAACATTTGAAAAATTCATTCAAAAGTGTATTTAAAATATTTTCCACCAAGGCAGATTTGGAGCTGGTGCCTGTTGTGAACCAACCAGAACGGCTTCATGGCTAGGCTCACTGGTCCATGTAATATGAGAGTAACTTCTCATCATACAATCCTTCATTTACTATGCCTTGAAGTCAAACATTGTCTATTAAAGCAGAAACCATATACATTCATCAGGAAATATGCATCAGGGGATGTTAATGACAACAGTCAGTGAATACAATACAATACAATACAACTTTATTTATAAAGCACTTTAAACCTCCAGACCAAAGTGCTGTACAGGCAAATAGATAAAACAAAGCATACAAAAAAGTAACACAGCTCAGCTCACACACCATAAAACAACTATCTAGTGGTAGCTAGCTTGAGGAGACAGAATGCGTAACGATGGTGGGACCCAAGCACCACAACACTTCCGCCACTGAAACATATTGGCATACTTTTAACAAAGTCACTCTGGAAAAGAGTATAAAGTAGGAGAAGAAGTTTTTGCAATTCAATCTGGCTTTGTAAATGTAGAGAGTACATCTTCAACGGGTATACACTGTGACGTCATTGGGCTCCTTTCGGGCTCTGGTCGGTTTAAAAAGCAAACTGGTTCTTAAGTGGTTCCCAAGTTGAACCAACTTTTAACCAAACTAGCCCCAGCATGGAACTAGAACAGAACTCAATTCAGTGGAAAAGGGGGACAAGTCCAGACTCATCCAGTCCTCCAACCTGATACGGCTTTACCAGCAGTGTCTCCATGACAGAGAGCTTTCTGTCTTATTTAAAGCTGTCAGTAACAAGCGGTGTCTCCTGTCAGACACATGCTGTTTTTTCAGGAAATGATTGCTGAGGTCCGGATGTCTGTGACCTCATATCATGCTACTGCCATCAGTATCCATGATGTCCGGCAGTGGCTCAGTCAGTAGTGGCTTGGACTGTGAGCCGTAGGGTCGCCGGTTCAAGTCCCCGACCAGACCTAAAATTGAGTGTGGACTGCTACTTGGAGAGGTCCCAGTTCACCTCCTGCCCTGCCGTGGTGCCCTTGAGCAAGGCACCGGACATCCCCCTTCCCCCCCACTCCCATTGCTCCCCGGGCGCTATACAATAGCTGCCCACTGCTCCTGGTACTAGACTCCTGGTACTAGGATGGGTTAAAAGCAGAGGTGTGCTGTGTGCTCTGCATGTGTGACCATTAAAGAGGGTTTCATCCCTCCTAATATTATATTATTATTGAACAGGGTTTATATTTTGCCCCATACATGCATTTGTCAGGTGTACAGTATCTCTTCATGAGCCTGCTTAACCCTTTAACTACCAGACCAAGAAAGAATCTATGGAAAAATTATTTGTTTGCATTTTTTTATCAAATGGGACACAAATAACCACAAAATGGTAGAAGTGCATTTTCAACAATCATCATACAGTAGAGTATTTATATGCATCAAACTCAAATAAAACACAAACTCAAATAAAAAAAAATATTTTGTGGAAAATGAGCAATATATACAACCAGATATATTCATAAAAGATAATAAATTATAATTGTAAAGAAAAAATGGAAAAAAGTCATGTTAAAGTGGACCTATCATGCTATATATGAAACATATAGTGTAGGGCCATAAAACATGTCTGTGAATTATTATTTTTTAAATACCAAACAGATCATGCATTTTAGCCATGCCTCATTTTGCTCTATTTGCTCTTTTCCAGCGCTGTTTTTGAATGGGCTGATTCTGCTTTTGTGGCAGACTACAGCGCCACTTACAGGCCTGGCATATGTACTACAGCGTCTCCAGCGGTCTCTCATTCCCCTGATAGGTGGAGAGTTGCCCATATAGGCGGAGCTCCCCTTTTCTGACGTCAGAGAAATTCAAATAATAATCAGATCCGTTGCAGCCCCGTTTTTAGAGATTTGTGTATGGAGGAAAAGAGAGAGGGTTGTGTTTTCTGACACTTGGTGGGTTCCCTGGCACACCGGGGACACATATTCATGTATAAAAGACGTACAAAAGTTCATTTTGTATGATAGCTCCCCTTTAAGTGTTTTTCATAATAAAAAAAAAGACTTTCTCATCTTACTGTATATGCTGAATTGGCCTAACAAGAAACCACTGGCCTAACAGCAAATGTCTATATCCTGTGTTGGCCTAACTTGCTCATCTGTGTGCAACATTGGGCTGAATGCCATGCATGAAAGGTGCTATATAAATTATTATCACTCTTTCATTCTGAGACTCATAAGGCAGTACTAGATTTAGTAATATTACCATGAATCTAGCCATTTATTTACCATATTTTATTGGAAAACATCTCTGAAACTCTGAAAAAGTCATATTGCTAGTTTACCATAAAGGCCATATCGATGGTGGTGCTGGCTGTTAAAGGGTTTGCTGATACTAGATTACTTTCTAAAGTACAACATGTCTTGCAGAACATCTGTACCATGGATGTATAAGCGACAATCTGCGCAGATTTAGCCTTTTTTTGTACCACCGAACTATTAGTTAATTTGGTCAAGTCAAAACAAGTTCTGAAAAGTTGTAAGGCATTTTTTTGTTCAACCCTTCCCTTACCAGAGGAAGACTCTGCTGTCACTGGAGGATGAGGAAGAGCAGGGAAAACATAAAATCGCTGATGGTCTGAAGACGGCACTGAGGACACAGCCAATGAGGTACAAATCCAGCACTAGTTATCCTAGAAAATGAACATGTCTTAGTTTTTGTTACATTTTCCCATGTACTGCAGTGATGTAAAGAATAACCCGAACAAGGCCATTCTGATTCATCTCCACCAGGTTTGTGACGCGGTTCATTGAGTTGGACGGCCTGTCTTGTATCCTGAATTTCCTCAAGTCGATGGACTATGAGACCACCAACTCTCAGATCCACACCTCCCTGATCGGCTGCATCAAAGCTCTGATGAACAACTCTCAGGGCAGGGCTCATGTGCTCGGTCACTGTGAGAGCATCAACATCATCGCACAGAGTCTCACCACTGAAAGCATCAAAACCAAGGTACATGCAATGCACTCAATATCCCATAATGACAAAGTTAGAAGAAGTTGACATACTTTATTAATCCCACAGTGGGAAATTACATGTTCACAGTGTTGTTACATCAAACAGTACATCACACCTGAGAATACACTAATGTAAAAACTAGGGCTGTCAGTCGATTAAAATATGTAATCACGATTAATCGCATGATTGTCCATAGTTAATCGCGATTAATCGCACATTTTGTATCTGTTCTAAATGTACCTTAGAGGAATATTTTTCAAGTTTGTAATACTCTTATCAACATATGAGTGGACAAATATGCTTTATGCAAATGTTTATTATTATTTGAACAATGACAAATATTCTCATGAATATTAAACACAACAACCTGGAACCTCTCTCTCTCTCTCTTACTCTCTCTCTCAACCCTGTGTACTTCTCTGCACTGAGCCAGTTGCTCAAACAGACAAGCCTGTTTACAGTTGTCTTCATAACAGTCAAAGCATGAGACTGAAGTTCCCATAGGGGTCAGGATAATGCGCTGTGATGTGCAGTCGACACGTCGGATGCGATCCGAAGGATCTCACGCGGCCCCTCGTCCTCCACAATGTTAAGCTGTAGCCCCCCATTTAGCTATCGCTGTTGAAAGCTTGTTGCTCGTAGACGCATCCAACCATCCAACTAACAACAACAACGTCAAGCCTTTAGGCTTTGAAACTACGGGGCGGGCCGAGGACAAATACACATGCGCTAATAGCACGTTAAAACAATTAGTGGCGTTAAAACATTTTTGCATTAACGCGTTAACTTGACAGCCCTAGTAAAAACGTATGTCTTATTGAGAGGTGTCAGAACGAAGAGACTGCCATGGTTAGAAGTCTGGAGCAATAGGCATTTTGGCAGTCTGCATGAACTGCATTGGCTTTCCAGTTACCAGTCCACACTGTATTTTTGTATGGTCCATGGGGGACTTGAACCAGTAACCATTATTTGACCTAGCTAAGTCCCTATTGATTGAGCTTCTGGCTCTTAAACTTTAGATTACATGCTTCCCATTTCTCAAGGACATACACCTTTTATATAAAGTCTAAGAGTTGACAATACACCTAAGGAAGGAATCATGAATGATTGTTATTACATGTTATGCTAGATCACGCTTTTATCCAAAGATACTTACAGTAAATACACTTCTATACTGTTGACATCTATATCTTTGATTGAAACCATGTCATGAGTCTCAGGACTTCAGAGCTTCCAACAGGAAAATGAACAGATGAACAGCAAAGACAACACTGTGTTCTCACACAATGTTGGCCCTTTAAAATAATCGTTCTCTAGTTAGTCATCATAACATTCTTTGTCCTTCTAATTTAATATTTCCTGTTTGCTCTCTCTCCCTAGGTTGAAGTGTTAGAGATCCTTGGTGCAGTATGTTTGGTGCCAGGAGGCCATAAGAAAGTTCTAGAAGCCATGCTGCACTACCAGAAATTTGCCTCGGAGAGAACACGCTTTCAGGTCTGCTTTTGCTTTGTTTGTGTGTTTCATTGAATCTACTACAAGGGAATATGGTGGTGTGGAAAGAACAGATTCTGATTTATTTACGGGATGACCCATCATGCATGTTGGTTGCCTTATTTGGATCTGTTATAAAAGAAAAACACAAAGAAACATTACATTAGATTAAGGATTCATCCTAGGGACCCTAACAATAATAATACATCAATAGGGCGACTGTGGCTGCGAGGGAGTGCGGTCGTCTTTCAACCAGAAGGTTGTGAGTTCGATCCCAGCTCGTGCAGCCAACATGTCGATGTATCCTTGGGCAAGATACTTAACCCTGAGTTGCTCCCGATGGCATGGCCAACGGGGTATGAATGTGTGTGAATGTTAGGTCCTAGTGGTACTGCTCTGTATGAATGGGTGTGAATGGGTGAATGACATGTAGTATGTAAAGCGCTTTGAGGGGTCGTAAAGACTGGATAAAGCGCTATATAAGTACAGTCCATTTACATCAGATTGTGACAGAAAGTGAGGCCACATCCAGAGTTACCACAAATATGTTTTATGCAACTTGAATATCTTCTGCTCTGTGTGCAGACCTTGCTGAACGACTTAGATAGATCCACAGGCCGCTACAGAGATGAAGTGAACCTGAAGACGGCCATCATGTCCTTCATCAACGCTGTGCTCAGTCAGGGAGCAGGAGAGGTGAACAACCATCCACGAGTCTTTATTCTGCTGAGATCTAGACAGAACTAGAAAGTACTGTGTCTTTGAGTGAGGTGTGTCGTATCGTATTTGTCTCAATCAACGTCTTCCCTTCCTCCACAAATGTTGTGTTTTCAGACCAGTCTGGAGTTCCGCATCCACTTGCGTTATGAGTTCCTGATGTTGGGCATTCAGCCGATCATTGACAAACTGCACTCCAATGACAACGCCATCCTGAACAGGTACATGAGGCACTCTTGAAGATGCCAGCATTTTAAAACATCAATACTGTGTTGTAAAATGAACAAATACGTGAGAGGTCAGGGGAATATATTTGTACTTTGACAAACTTTGTTCCATTCCATTCTGTTTATGTTGTTTCCAGACATTTAGACTTCTTTGAGATGTTGAGGAATGAAGACGAGCTTCTGATGTCCAAACAGTTTGATGCTGTAAGTCATTTTAGACTGTCCAAATGTCTTTTTAGATTACTTAATTTAGCGCCGAAATCCTAGCTCTTGCTGTGGGGATAAAAAGACATAACACATTTCAGTTTTTAAACACTAAACACCATCTGTTACCATAATAGGAATTTGATTGAAAATTGAAAATGTATTTTGCATTTCTTTTTTATGTCAAATAAATGTCAAAACACAGATTTGATATATGTCATGAAGAAACTTTGTTTTTCCTCAGGTCCATATAGAAACTAAAAGTGCCAGCCAGATGTTTGAGGTGATCAAGAGACATCTGAGCCACACTGAAGCGTACCCTCACCTGCTGTCTGCACTGCAGCACTGTCTCATGATGCCCTGTAAGACTGCCTGGCCACTTGTCCACAACTTACTAGTTTACCTTCCTTTTTAAATCACCATGAATCTGACGGTTCTCCCGTCTGTCTGCAGACAAGCAGAGCAGCACCACGCTCCAGTACTGGGTGCTGTTGGATCGGATAGTCCAGCAGCTGGTTCTGCAGACGGACAAAGGAGAAAACCCCGACGTCGCTCCACTGGAGGACTTCAACGTGAGAAACATTGTAAGCATGTAAGTTTCAGAGGGCTCTTCATTTGGGGTAGAAGCCTAGTGTGGTTTCAGGGATGAGTCATTGAACCCAGTAATGAGTTCGCATTATAGCATTTACGGTTCTCTCATCTGGAAGTCAATGGTTTTTTGAACATGTTTTTATTAGTTGCCTGAAATAAGGTTTTAGAGATGTTCATGTATTGCACTAGGATATGACATATTTCAGTAAATACCTCACTGGTGAATGTCTGAATGTGTAAAGTGACTCAAAGAGAGAACTAAACGTCATCACGCCCAACACGAGTCCGCCTTTAGCTTAGCGGTGGTGATGCACAGCCATGCTACTGTATTAAGTTGATAACCAAACATTAGCTTTTTACTTATGGCATTGCATGTATGCTTAGTCAATCATAAAAGTGGTGTTAATATGTGGAGATTGTCTTGTTGAGCGAAACAAGTGATTATCATAAACGTGTTTTTCCCACCGATTTTCTTCAAGATTCCAAGTTCCAGTCGTTAATTGTCAATGAGGTGACGTGTGTATGTTTGTCTATAGGCTCATCAAAGAGAGTGAGGTCAAACAATGGAAAGAGCAAGCTGATAAAATGAGAAAAGGTAAACACACACACACACGCACACACACTCCTGTGCATTACAACAGCTGCAGGTTAATCAAAAACAATACAATGCATGTTTCTCTCTTGATCAGCTAGGAAAGGAAATCTTAGTAAGTGCTTTGCTAATTCACTATGTATTCATTACATTACATTACATTGCATTTAGCTGACGCTTTTGTCCAAAGCGACTTACAATAAGTACATTCGACCAGGAAGACACAACCTTGAAGAAAACAGAATCATATAAGTATATCAGGTTTCATAGAGCCAAACATTTCAAGTGCTACTCAACTGGCTTTAGGTAATCCAGTCCTTTATTGGTATAAAAGTGCTTCGTTAATCGTTCTAACGCTCGAAGTGGAGTCGAAAGAGATGAGTTTTCAGTTTGCGCCGGAAGATGTGCAAGCTATCTGCCGTCCTGATGTCAATGGGGAGCTCATTCCACCATCTTGGAGCCAGGATAGCAAACCCACGTGTTTTCGCCGATGGGAACTTGGGTCCTCCTCGCAGCGAGGGCGCAACGAGTCGTTTGGCTGATGCAGAGCGTAGTGCACGCGCTGGGGTGTACAGTTTAACCATGTCCTGGATGTAGGAAGGGCCAGATCCATTCGCAGCACGGTAAGCAAGTACCAGTGTCTTGAAGTGGATTCTAGCAGTTACCGGAAGCCAGTGAAGGGAGCGGAGGAGCGGAGTGGTGTGGGAGAATTTAGGAAGGTTGAAAACCAGACGAGCCGCTGCATTCTGGATGAGCTGCAGAGGTCGGATGGCACATGCAGGTAGACCAGCCAGGAGGGAGTTGCAGTAGTCTAGGCGTGAGATGACGAGAGCCTGGACCAGAACCTGAGTCGCTTTCTGTGTCAGCTGGGGACGTATCTTCCTGATGTTGTAAAGCGTGTCTCTGCAGCAGCGGGGTGTAGCAGCGATGTTTGCAGTGAAGGACAGGTTGTTATCTAGGGTCACACCCAGATTCCTTGCAGTCTGAGTCGGGGAAACAACTGAGGTGCCGATGTTGATTGTCAGGTCAAGAGTTGGACAATCTTTTCCCGGGAGGAAGAGCAGCTCAGTCTTGTCAAGGTTGAGCTTGAGGTGGTGAGCAGACATCCACTGAGAGATGTCAGCTAGACAAGCAGAGATGCGTGCGACGACCTGGGTCTCTGAGCGGGGAAAGGACAGAATTAATTGGGTGTCGTCAGCGTAGCAGTGGTAAGAAAAACCATGCGGGCTAATGACTGATCCGAGCGAGTTTGTGTACAAGGAGAAGAGGAGGGGACCAAGAACAGAGCCCTGAGGGACCCCCGTAGTTAATTGACAAGGGTCGGACTCAGACCCTCTCCAAGTCACCCTGTAGGTACGGTCTTTCAGGTATGAGGTGAGGAGGGAAAGTGCAGAGCCAGAAAACTCCAAGTTTTTGGAGAGTGCGAAGGAGGATCTGATGATTCACCGTGTCGAATGCAGCAGACAGGTCCAACAGGATGATGACAGAGGAGAGGGATGCAGTTTTGGCAGTGTGCAGTTTCCTCCGTGACAGCAATGAGAGCAGTTTCTGTGGAGTGACCTGCCTTGAAACCAGACTGGTGCGGATCCAGAAGGTTGTTCTGATTGAGATAACAGGAGAGTTGTTTAAAGACAGCGCGTTCAAGTGATTTAGACAGGAACGGGAGGAGAGAGACAGGCCTGTAGTTTATAACATCAGACGGGTTGAGAGTGGGTTTCTTTAGGAGAGGGTTTACTCTTGCCTCCTTGAGACTGTTTGGAAAGTGACCAGAAGTTAGAGAAGTGTTGATGAAATGGGTGAGAAACGGTAGAATATCAGGAGCGATAGTCTGAAGGAGGTTTGAAGGGATAGGGTCCAGAGGACAGGTGGTAGGGCGGGCAGAGGTAATGAGGGTAAGAACCTCACTTGGAGAGAGAGGGGAAAAGGAGGTTAGTGTGTTGGTGGAAGGAAGGTCTGGTGACCCAGCGGTGAGTAAAGGTGAGTCAGAAAAAGAAGAGCGAATATCATTAACCTTTTTTTCAAAGTGGGTAACAAAGTCGCTTGACAGAAGTGAGGAGGGGGGAGGAGCTTTTGGAGGGTCCAAGAGGGTGGAGAAGATGGAAAATAGTTTTTTAGGATTGGAATAGGAAGATTGGATCTTATCTTGAAAGAAAGTGCTTTTTGCCTGAGAGATCGAAGCAGAGAAAGAGGAGAGGAGAGCTTGATAGGTTAGGAGGTCGTCACGGTGTTTGGATTTCCACCATTTCCGCTCTGCTGCCCTAAGGACGGTTCTATTAGCACGCAGTGCATCATTTAGCCAGGGAGCCGAAGGGGACTGACGAGCCTGCCGAGATGTCAGAGGACAGAGCGAGTCCAGAGTGGATGAGAGAGTAGAGAGGAGAGTTTCTGCAGCAGAGTTTGGAGGCAGTAGTTGGAACGAATCAGAGGAAGGGAGGGCTGAGAGCACCGACGAGGCAAAGGTAGAGGGAGAGAGGGAGCGAAGGTTACGGCGGACAAGTGTAGGATGGGAAGAGATTAGTTTGTTATGTTTGGAAAGGGATAGAGAGAATGAAATGAAGAAGTGATCGGATGTGTGGAGCGGGTTTACAGAGAGGTTAGAAGTAGCGCAGTTCCTTGAGAATATGAGATCAAGGACATTGCCAGCTTTATGAGTCGGTGGGGACGGAGAGAGTGAGAAAGCAAAGGCGGTTAACAGAGATGTTAGTTCGTCTATCTTCCCCATCTGGAGGTTGAAGTCTCCGAGAAGTACAGCGGGAGGGCCAGTTTTCAGGGATGTGTGAGAGGAGATGATCTAATTCCTCCAAGAAGTCCCCCAAGGCGCCTGGTGGACGGTAGAGAACAACAATGGTTAACTGTATAGGATGGGTTACTGTGACGGCATGGAACTCAAAGGTGGAAGGAGTAAAGTTAGGTAGCTTGAAGAGGGAAAAGCTCCATTTGGGAGAGAGCAGGAGACCAGTGCCACCTCCTCTGCCAGTGGGTCTGGGTGTATGGGAGAAGGAATATGCAGTGGAGAGAGCTGCTGGGGTGGATGTGTTGGATGGAGTAATCCAGGTCTCAGTGAGAGCAAGGAAATCCAGAGACTGCAGGGAGGTGTAGCCAGAGATGAAGTCAGCCTTAGGAACAGCTGACTGGCAGTTCCACAGGCCACCTGAAACTAGATGATGGATCTCAGTGGAGCACGTGGGATAGACGAGAGCAGGCCGGTTATATCGATTAGGAGATACACGGGGCCAGTGATAATTGCGAGAAGACACATGAACAGGAATGGAGAAAATACACATGATTATAGCATGAGGGGCTAAACAACAAAAGTAAAAATTAAAAACGCCAACGATACTTAGCTCAATCAAAGTAGGATTTGCCTCCTCTTTGCCTCCCTCGTGACTCCCGTAGGACTCTAATGTCTTTGTCAGTCTTACTCCCGTAGGACTCTAATGTCTTTGTCAGTCTTAGCCTGTCTGCCGCTGAAGCTGCCGCTCCAGGAAAGAGCTACCCGAAATGGACGCCTGATTGCTCAGTTCTCACAGCTGAAGTTAATTAGTTAACTATCTACAGCTGATGGGCGACAATAGACTGGCCCTGCCTATGTTAATAATGCAGGCTTGAGTGCTGAGAGCTGTAAAGCAGGTTTCGCCTGAGCAGATCTGAGATTTAAAATCTCTCAAAAGCGATTTAGCCGTTTAGCTACAGTAACAATTATACAGAGTCGAATAAATGAAACCGAGAAGTCTAATTAAACAAGAATATAACTTACAGTGGTTGCTGCGTCAATAGGTAATGTTGTCACCGGGTCCAGATGCACACTGAGTTCATCAGTTTCTAAATGCGGTATTTAAATGCTTTTTGAGCTAAAGGATGACTGAGTCACGCAGTTCTACTTCACGCAATCAATAGACTGGCCCTGCCTATGTTAATAATGCAGGCTTGAGTGCTGAGAGCTGTAAAGCAGGTTTCGCCTGAGCAGATCTGAGATTTAAAATCTCTCAAAAGCGATTTAGCCGTTTTAGCTACAGTAACAATTATACAGAGTCGAATAAATGAAACCGAGAAGTCTAATTAAACAAGAATATAACTTACAGTGGTTGCTGCGTCAATAGGTAATGTTGTCACCGGGTCCAGATGCACACTGAGTTCATCAGTTTCTAAATGCGGTATTTAAATGCTTTTTGAGCTAAAGGATGACTGAGTCACGCAGTTTCTACTTCACGCAATCAATAGACTGGCCCTGCCTATGTTAATAATGCAGGCTTGAGTGCTGAGAGCTGTAAAGCAGGTTTCGCCTGAGCAGATCTGAGATTTAAAATCTCTCAAAAGCGATTTAGCCGTTTTAGCTACAGTAACAATTATACAGAGTCGAATAAATGAAACCGAGAAGTCTAATTAAACAAGAATATAACTTACAGTGGTTGCTGCGTCAATAGGTAATGTTGTCACCGGGTCCAGATGCACACTTTCAATAAAACAAATCCCATTCAATAAAACAACCGTTGGTACATCAGGGACCAAGCATGCGATGCAAATAAGTCACGCTGCAGGAGAGGCAATGCTTCTCAGTAGCTCTGCCTATAAGAAAGACTGTATACTTTGATTAACTCCACCGTAGTTTACAGAATGATCACATACTGTATGTTCCCACACTCCCTTCCCTCCAGAGCATCAGAACCTTCAGCAGCGCTTTGAAAAGAGAGAGCGGGAGGTTGAGGCCAAGAATAAGGAGAAAGACGACATGATGGTGATGCTGAACAAGCTGAAAGACAAACTGGAGCGGGAGAGCAACGAGCACAAGCAAGCTCGGCAACAAGTGGGAGACCTGTCTGCCCGGCTGCAGCAGCTCAGCTCTGTACGTGCACCCAGCTGCGATAAACGTGGTTTATTTGTGTTTATTGCTGTCAATACATGTATAATCTATGGTTATGGCATCTGTTCATAATGAATTCTCTTGTTAGACCTCCAGTGTGCCAGGAGGACCCCCCGTGGCGTATGATGGTTCAGTTCCTCCTGCTCCTGTCCCGGCCCTGCCTTTTGCTCCACCTCCTCCCCCTCCACCTCCTCCTCCAGGAGGCCCACCAGGGTTTGGCATGGCTCCGTTTGCCCCACCTCCTCCACCAGGAGCTCCACTAGGAACAGCCCAGAGGAAGAATATTCCTCGGCCATCCAACCCCCTGAAGTCCTTCAACTGGAGCAAACTGCCTGAGGTACTGCTGTTGCTACGGAGAGAGAGGGACTAACATAGTGTTGGGTTTGGGATGTGTCCCAAATGTTCACTCATCAACTACAACTAATAGAAGTTCTATACAGAGGACTATCATTTGAGTTATGTGCACATTTAAAGAAAACACAATGGACACTAGGTATTGTACGGTACTGAAATCATTCAAATAAATTGGGCAACAACTCATGTATTCTGGGTCTCAGTCACGCCTCGGTCTCTCCTTGCGTTTGTCATAATTCCTCCAATACATTCAAAAAGCACTCCAACATTGCAGACTCAATTCATAATGGACTATGTGCTTAGCATGAACTGATTTCAGCCCGGGTCTTTTCATGGGATTTGCCGACAGTAAGACAAATATATGACATCCGACTGAGTGATGCCAATCAGCTTGTAGTCTCTGTAGGGGGTCAACAGCTGTGAAATGCTGCAGAAATCTCTACAGTGAGTTGTTAGCTGGACTTTGAGATAGGAGGATGATAAACTTGCATATTTGCTGTTGTTTCAGAGCCAGATAGAAGGAACCATATGGAAAGAGATGGATGATCTCAAGGTGTTTAAAGTTCTGGATCTAGAAGAGTTCCAGAAAACCTTCTCAGCCTACCAGAAACCTCAAGTATTACATGTAACGTATCACACTCAGTTTCTCTTTTGCCTTTTATTTTATGTTCATTAGGTATTTGTGTCATTAGCATACAATCCTCCTATTCATAGATGTAGTTTCATTGTGCGACAGATATTGACACTACTCAGGTTGATTGCATGTGTTTGAAATGGAGAATACAGAAACACTGAAAACAAACTTTTACACGGAAGAAGACTTTTTTTTGTATTCTAACCACTATTCTGTATTAGCAGAAGGATCATGAGGAGGACCCGTCCTTTGTGAGGAAAGTGAAGGAGCTGTCAGTAATTGACGGTCGACGAGCTCAGAACTGTAACATTCTGCTCTTACGGTCAGTGCATGTTCCATGTGAATACGTTTGATCCAAAAAAATGTGCATGTTGAAAAGCTGTTATATAAATGTATGTTACAGACTGAAGCTGACCAATGAGGAGATCCGACATGCTGTCCTGTCCATGGACGAACAGGAAGACCTACCTAAAGACATGCTGGAGCAGGTGACCCATTACCACATCTTCTGAGTCACCTCCAGCCCAAGCATTGCTCCCAAAGTAGATTTCAAATGGTTATAATGACAACAGCAACAAGATGTTTAGAATCAGGATGCTGTTTCATTAGAGCATAAAAAAGGTGTTCCTTTGGAGGATCTTTATATTGATCCATATAAAAATGGCCAATATAAAGAAGCAATGTGATTTTATACGGGGCAGATATGGCACAGGGGGTAAACACATGTCTACCAATCAGAGGGTCAATGCTTCTATCACCTGCAGTCAGGTGTCATTGGGCAAGATATTTAGTCCTGTATGTGTATGGATTTCAACTGGATTTCCAGCCACTATGATGCACTAATTGTAACATTCCTATTTATTTACGGCTCAAACGTGTCACAAATAAAACATAAAATAACTGTTTTAAATGAAATACACATTTAACTGTGTGTGTGTGTGTGTGTGTGTGTGTGTGTGTGTGTGTGTGTGTGTGTGAAGCTCCTGAAGTTCGTCCCTGAGAAGAGTGACATTGAGCTGTTAGAAGAACACAAGCATGAGCTGGATCGTATGGCCAAAGCAGACCGCTTCCTGTATGACATGAGCAGGTAAAACACACACACACACACACACACATACACACACACACACACACACACACACACACGCACGCACACACACACACACACACACACGCACGCACGCACGCACGCACGCACACACACACACACACACACACAGCCTGTATTTGTCAGTTAACTAAAGCATGACGGTGACAGACAGACTGTACACTTTGAGGATCCTGTCTGGAGGAAAAGCTGCAGAGCGGGTTGAAAGAGAGAGTAGTTACCTCAAGTATCTGCCAGTATACCAAGTAAAATAAAACTGTCCGGAGTTGGTAAAAAATGTTAAGCAGTATCTAAAATGCTTCACTTGTGCAAATAACTGAAGCAAAGGCACAGGAGCACCCTGTTCTGCTGCTTCCCCTCTGATGCTCTAGCTTAGCCTGTTATATTTCATGTTAAAAGTCATCACAAATGACTGTCACTTGGTTATGATGATCACAACCTGCAGTCGGTCGTCAGCTTTATGGAGCCAGGCACAATGGCAAAAACAACTAAAGGCCAAAGATAGGCCCAGATCCTGTGTCACATGAGAGATTTTCTGGCTTTTCACATTGAACATTTGAACGGAAAACGACATCTTTATTCACAGAAGCAGGGTTAAGGCCACTGATATGTGGTTCCCTTCTCAGTCCTAACTTATCTTGGTCTCTTACCCTTTGTCCCAATCAAAGCTTTTTTCATCGGGCTAGCTTTAAAAATAGCACAAAACGATATCCTCATCATCAGTACCCTCGGCAAGAAAGTGCTTATTGCTTTAACCCAGTGGTTCTCAAACTTTTTCTATCAGGCCCCCCCCTTTGGAGAAAAAAAAAAGTCGGGCCCCCCCAACACAAGTCAGGCTCAGTGGCGGCGCCAGAGATTTCTTTTGGGGGTGCTGTGGGGTAGCTTGACGTTTCATAGAGGGTGCTCAAACATTTAGGGTTTCCCATTAATGTACCGGGAGCTACAGTGGAATGTTCTACTGCAACACTCCCCACGCAAATACACAGGGAGACAGTTACAATGAAGGCTCGAGGCATATAGGTGGAAGCAGGGGTAAAGTGCTATTTTTATAGGTGGTGAGTGGACCTCACATAGGGGGGTCCGGGGGCAAGCTCCCCCCCGGGAAGATTTATTTTTAAATATTGAAGTTGAAAGCATCAATCTGGTGCACTTTGAGAGCAACATGAAGAGATCTATGGATACATCTCTCAACACCCAGATGAATCAGAACTGTAAACAGATTTACTTTTTCTTTATGGATATTTTACAAATCACTCCCCTTTAAACTTTATTCATTTTGTAATGTCATATAGTATTTCATACCTGTTTTTAATTTATTCTCTTATTTTTTTATAACTATAATGATCATATAAACATGTGCCTCGGAAATAATTGTTTACATTAATGGTGACCAAAACGTTTGAGACCCACTGAGATAACACTGAGAGTCCTTTAGCTCACTGAGTCTCTCGGTCTGACAGGAGAGGACTCTCCTCCTCCTTGTTGTTGAAAAAACTCCTTATATCCGTTAGCGTAGCTCGCTAGCACCAGAAGCTGACAACAACAATCTCCGGTACCGGTGCGCTCTCTCTCTTTCTCTCTTTCGCTCGCTCGCTCGCTCGCACGCACACACAGACACACACACACACACACACACACACACACACACACACACACACACACACACACACACACACACACACACACACACACACACACACACACACACACACACACAACACACACACACCACACACACAGAGCCGAGCTTTAATGAAACACAGAGACCCAGATGTAATAGTACTGTATCATATTATTTTCGAATCAATAATTTTTCAAATGAAGGTTTTTTCTTTTTAATCTTTTTTTTTTTTATAACCATTTTTCCTCCTGGTCTCTTGCGTCCCCTCCTGTCATGCCTCTGCGCCCCCCCTAACCTATGTTCTTTTAATCAAACTTTTCTATGTGTCTGTATTAAACAGAAAAGATCGACATCATGTGGCCAAACAGCAAAACAACATAACCAGCTATTCCAGGCAGTGAATACAAATGTATACACACCTCGTAGGCTCGAGCAGCCAAATAAAACATGTAGAGAAAAACATTAGAGGACATTGTGTGACTATCTGTTGACATGTTCACACACAAACAACACAATAGTTTGAGGAAGTTGTATTTGGGTGGCTGTTGGGTCATCAGAGTCCACTCACAGTTTGGCTGTTTGATTCTGTCCTCTCCTAGCATCAACCACTATCAACAGAGACTGCAGTCCCTCTACTTCAAGAAGAAGTTTGCTGAAAGAGTGGCTGAGATCAAACCTAAAATCAAAGGTATTCCTTTCTATCCAAAACTCAGTGAATTCATGGGTGCTGTTCTGTTCAGTTTGTTGTGCCCTGCTGAAGATATTATAAGATGTTAAAATACGTGTTGACATTGTGTTCCAGCTCTGAGCGTTGCATCCCAGGAGGTGGTGCAGAGCGGGGCGCTGCTTCAGCTCCTGGAGGTGGTGCTGGCCTTTGGAAACTACATGAACAAAGGACAACGAGGAAACGCCTGGGGATTCAAAGTGTCCAGTCTCAACAAGATAGCCGACACCAAGTCCAGCATTGACAAGTACGGGTCATTTTCTGTTCACTTTATCCTTTTTCTGAGAAGAACTGTAGATGTTTGTTAGATTCTCTTTTCTTCTAGAAGTCAATGAGAAGTGATAAATGTTTGACTGTTAAATGTAGTATGGTTGTGTGTTTGCAGAAACGTCACTCTGCTTCACTACATGATCACTGTGCTGGAGAGGAAATACCCGAAGATGGCAGCTTTCAGTGAAGAGCTTCAGACTGTGCCAGAAGCTGCTAAGGTCAAGTAAGAACAAACACAAAGACACTGTAGAAGTGATTGTACTGAACCTCACTGCTAAAACAAGACTTTGTGGGGACTGGTGTTCCCTAATAAATAGGTCCTGAAATCCACCTAAAACCACAAATGGGAAGAACAAATGTAGGAATTGTATTTTGTGTAATACAGTTAATATGACTGTCTTGTGTCTCTCTACATATGACCTGTCTCTCCAGCATGACAGAGTTGGAGAAGGACATTGGCAAGCTGAGATCTGGCCTGAAAAATGTTGAGGCGGTGAGTGAATGATTACAAAGCTGTTCAGTTATTTTCTTAGTATGTTTAACACCTAACACCCTGTAAATTCATTTAAAAAAAGACTCATGGAGGATACATGTGGAATATATTGACATATTGAATTCAGTGTGTGTGTGTGTGTGTGTGTGTGTGTGTGTGTGTGTGTGTGTGTGTGTGTGTGTGTGTGTGTGTGTGTGTGTGTCCAGGAGCTGCAGTACCAGCAGGGCCGCTCCCCTCAGGGTCCTCAGGACAGGTTTGTCCCTATGGTCAGTCAGTTCATCACTGTGGCCTCCTTCAGCTTCTCTGACGTGGAGGACTCACTCAGTGAGGCCAAACAAGTGGTGAGTCAAGGGGGATACTGTTATTCACATGTTTAACCAACAAACATAATCTTAACACAAAAGAGTCTAAAGCTGTAGTTAGGGTTAGCTGTAGTTAGGGTTAGCTGTAGTTAGGGTTAGCTGTAGTTAGGGTTAGCTGTGGTTAGGGTTAGCTGTAGTTAGGGTTAGCTGTAGTTAGGGTTAGCTGTAGTTAGGGTTAGCAGAAACAGAACATCTTTATGTGAGTCTGAAGCAATGCTATCCAACAACATTCATAACCCACTGCTGCCAGTCTGTATGTACGTTGTCCTGACTCCAGCTCTGTAATTAACACACATACCTGCCAACCCTACCGATTTGGGCGGTAGTCTACCGCTTTTGACATGTTTCTACCGCCTACCGACTTAGCTGGCTTTCCCTACCGATGTTCAATCTTCCCAAACTATAACAAATAAAACTGACACTGCATAGACACTGGACTCGACTTTTGGCGGACACCGTTTGCAGCGTATCTGTGATCGCATCATACAAACAGTCCTCTGTGTTTCTGAAAGAGAAACAACGTGCAGACCGGGGGTAACGCTGCCTTTTCTCTGCACCCCCGGGGCTGATGGGTAATCACTCCCAAATAGAGAACCGCAGTGACGCGTCCTAAAACCCGGATGTAAACTCCTTCCGGTTCCTTCGTCGAAAACCAATGCAATTTCTCCATAGGATTTTGGAAAACAGCTGGAAATAAGGTCTGTGGTTGAGACACATTGAAGAGACGGATCACGTTTTGTTCAGCCGGATAATATCCACATGTCTACCCTACTTTTATAATTTTCGAATCATAAATCTAGTCGCAAGAAGCAAAATGCTAACGTTATGCTATAAAGGAACTACAGCAGGGTCGCTGCTTCAACGTCACGCCAACTTAAGATCCATATTCAAACATACAGATTGTAAATGGTACAAGTTGGAGCGTTTGTTTGAACAGTTATCAGGAGGCAGGGATTTGCTTTCAAGCAGAACAGGGCAAACAAACTTAGAGGAGTGTTTTACGTGTTCGGTGTAATGACGTAAAACGGCCTGGACAACTTCTGTAGTCCTATTCAGCCACTTGTTAACAACCATCGTTTTTCAGACACGTAAACTCTTCAAAAATCACCAGTGGGGTCACTGCTGATGTATTTAATGTCGTAGAACAAAACGTGATCTGTCTCTTCAATGTGTCTCAAACACAGACCTTATTTGGAGCTATTTTCCAAAATCCTATGGAGAAATTGCATTGGTTTTTATCGAAGGAACCGGAAGTGGTAAAAATGCTAACTTACTTCTGGGTTTTAGGACGCGTCACTGTGGCACTCTATGAGTTTAAGGGAACAGAGACGAGGCATTTGAGTCCTGCAGGATTTCCCCGTTAATATCAGTGTCTCGAAAACACATGTTGGCGACTGAAAGACATCCAGTGTTTGGTCTTTTCCTGACGCATCCTTCACCTACAGTGTCTCAACTGAAAGAGGACCACTAAACACACACAAAATATGATACCATTTTGAGATTTGGGATATTTATCTCCCATTCTTTCACTTTTTCTGACATTTTCAACACCAAACATATCGTTAATGTCTCTGTTTAGTGAACTAGAGCAATCTGAAAGCCTGTACATTATTTATATCACACTTTATCATTAGAAAAATGCAGGAAATCACTTTTTTAATGCAGTATTTTCTGATTTATGGCGCAACACAAAGATATTTCGCTCTGTGCAAACCTTTGACTCTATGTCAACAACATGAAACAAGAATATGAACCTGGCTTTATCCAATGTTCACACAAGAGTTCTGCATCCTGACACATCTACACTGTCTCAACTGAAAGAGGACCAGAAACACATTACAAATATAATCAAATGTGGAGACTTTGGGAAATGTATCTCCCATTCTTTTACTTTTCGGGCATTTTACAGACCAGACATGTCGTTGATGTCACTGTTTACCAAACTACCACTTTTTTTGAAAAATGCATAAAATTATGCAATACATGTTAAATACATGGTTTATACATGTAATTACTGGGTTTCCATTTCTTCTGATTACCTCATTTGGGCGTGTACATTTGCCGTGCAAACCTACCTCTTTTGGATTTGGAAAGGTTGGCATGTATGAACACACATACTGTCTCTCGATTCGGATACTTTCCTCAGTACACTTCCATGTCTAAAACTGAGTGGTCTTGTCTTAAATCCAACACAGGTGTTATGCCCTCACTGGAAGTGACGATCGCTGCAGCAATTATCATTCGCAGTACCAAATCCTCTCAGACTGCTCAATTAACCCTATACAATTAACAGCAGCTTCTTTTTGACACCAGTTACAGTATAGCAGAACTTAAATATTGAAAAATAAATACACATATCTAACTTTTATTTGCATAGTGCTATGTTCACCAAAGCAATAGTGTGTAATTGCAATACTGCTAGTAAGTGTCCACGTTCCACTGTGGACCATTGTGAGAGCTCCATCTGGATACTCATAGTGCATTTTGACATACTTTGCAAGCAGCAAATGTAAGCACAGAAGTACATGATTTGAGACACAGCAACAAATGTTTTTTCTCAAATTGTTGTGCTATTCGATTAAAATGTGTCGATTGTTTGCCTTTTAAGATAAGCCTTCATAGTACATAACTATCTATCCTCAAGTGACTGACAGATAAACGGTGTTACACTCACAGTTTCACATTATATTGTGTGTATTATATACACACAAGTTGGACCTTAAAAAGGCAAGATATCTGAAAAATCTGCCTGTTGATCAAAAACAGAAGCTAAATGAAACCATAAATACAATTACCAATTAGATTTTCAAATTGGTATTTATAATATAACGTATTTGTACTTACTAAATCATGGTAACATCCCGTCAACTTATGAACACAGAAACAGAACATTTCTAAATACAAAAAAAGCCAACGTTTACAGCAGCTCAATCTGTTCGACTCGTCAAAATGTATCATGTCTCTTGTTGCAGTTTGGAAAGGCGCTGGTACGGTTTGGAGAAGACACGTCCAACATGCAGCCAGATCAGTTCTTTGGGATCTTCAACACTTTCCTCACAGCTTACTCAGAGGCCCAGCAGGACAACAAGAACATGGCGAGACGCAAGGAGGAGGAGGAGAGACGGGAACTCTTGGAGGCACAGGTTAGAGGACATGATCATACAAGAGAGATGTACTTTATTTTAACAGAATAGCTAATGTCTGTTACAACGTGTCAGGTACATGTATAGTAATACATACATAAGTTTTGTTCCGTGCATTAAACATAAAACATACTTGAGATAACATGATAGACGTTGCCTACACACTTTCCCTGTTTCCATACACTGATTCAGACGAGATGGGGAAGTATTCAGATCCTGCAAAAAACTTAAATTACTAAGAACTTGTACTAGTATGACACTGTAAAAATACTCTGTGTAAAGTGTCAAAGTCCTGCATTTAAAATGTTTCTTTAGAAAAAGTGAGTAAACATTCGTAGCCAAATGCAGTTTTTTTATGCAAAACTCTTGATTTGTAAACTAACTAAAGCTGTGAGATGAATGCAGTAAAGTAAAACATACATTATTTAATTGAATTGGAGTGGTATAAAGAGTCAGTAGTGATACATGTACAGTACTCATCCTCTCCTGTCTTGATCTGTCTGTTCCTGCAGCTGAAGAGAGACAGGGAGCAGAAGGGCAGGAAGGCCAGAGCCAACGCAGAAGAGGAGAGCGGTGAGTTCGATGACCTGGTGTCCGCTCTGCGCTCTGGAGAAGTGTTCGATCGCGATATGTCCAAAATGAACCGCAGGAAGCAGCGGACACAGAACGTGTTGGAGAGCAGCCGGGAGAGAGTAGTGACAAGACTAAACCAGTGACCAACTTCATCTTTAAAGCTGTCAGGAAGTACACAAACAAGAGTTCCCATCTCTCCTCCTCCTCCACTGCTGTCTATGGAACATAATCAATGTATGTAAATGTAGGCTTTTTAGAATAGTATTGGGCTACCAATTTCCAGAATCAAGAGTCCTTTATTCCTCCTAAAGTGGGGACAATGCAAAGGCACACATATACTTACATATTAAACAAAAAAGCAAGCACATGTTAATAAAATCATATCAATAAGAACACATCCATGTTAAAAACATTGTAGCAGAATTATAAAAAAGTTATTCAACACATAAACATGATGAGGTAGCAACGAGTAATAAATTGTAAAAAGTGTATATTGCACATGGCACAGTTATCTCTAACTTTTGAGTGTTTTTATGTTATATTAATAAGGGAAAGAGAATAGTAAGATATTTAAGTTGTATTACCCTTGTATATATTCCCAAGTTTGCACACATCTGCTTTATTTGTGAATTAGAAATGGGAGGGATGAAACCCTCTCTAATGGTCACACATGCAGAGCACACAGCACACACAGTGAAATGTGTTTTTAACCCATCCTAGTACCAGGAGTCTAGTACTAGGAGCAGTGGGCAGCTAGTGGGCAGCGCCCGGGGAGCAATGGGAGTGGGGGGGGGGGTAGGGGGGTGTCCGGTACCACGGCAGGGCAGGAGGTGAACTGAGACCTCTCAAAGTAGAAGTCCACACTCCATATTTAGGTCTGGTCGGGGACTTGAACCAGTGACCCTTCGGCTCACAGTCCAAGCCCCTACTGACTGAGCCACTGCCGGAGTTCCATTAATAATGTACATTAATCTGTTCTTAATATAAGATTTTAAACTGTTATCATTTAAGTGTTTTTTGTCAGCTGTTACACACTACTCCATCATTTCTTTTAAACAACGCTTTGTAAAAATGTATACAACTATATCCTGCAATAGCTGCATTTAATAAGTTGATGTTTTGATTTTTGTTTACAATCATTTTGTTTTTGGGGTGGTTTGCATTCCCTATAATAATAATAATGATAATAAATTATATTTTCATAGCGCTTTTCTGGGACTCAAAGTCTTTTTTACAATATAAGGGAGGGTGGGGGTTGGGTGGGTACAAACAAATAAGGACAAACAAAGACGATAAAATAATTAGAGTTATTCTCGAACCAGGGATCAGTATTATCTGTTGATACGGGTACATGTACATGTGCCTGTACTACGAAGCTGGTTCAACCTAACCTGGATATGTTTGAGTTAGCCGGTTGGCCTAATCCAAAACATACGCGCTCTCGCTAAACGGTCCTACGACGCGGGTTATCAAGTGGATCGCTCAAGCCAGCCGTGTCCTATCTAGTTAGGTGCGCGTTCACATGAAAGGGGTGGTATCTGGAGCATTCGACCAATCACAAACATGGAGAAGCGTACTGACAGCACAGCGTCATACTTCCTGAATGAAAAGTGAACTTTAATATTAGTCAAATATGAAGAAGTTAAACTTTAAACATCCATGACTTAAACACTTTATCCAGGATCAAAGCCACATAGCAAGGTGAATACAGCTGGTAAAAGAAAAAGTGTTTGAATGCGTACATTAACAGGTTTATGATATCACTGCCCCAGTATTATTTTAAGCAACACATTAACTTGACGAAACACTTGAGTCAAATGTAATTAAAGTCAGATCCACTCATGTCTTAGACGGGGCATATCATAAACCTGCAGGTTAGCCGCTCAGCATAAGTTACCATGGAGATCTAGCCTGCTAAAAAGAGAACCAGCGTCGTAGGACCGGAAACCCCAAGTTTTCCCTGAAGTTAGCCGGCTAAGCGAAAATCCTGCTTCGTAGTATAGGCCTCAGTACAATAGTAAGTGATATATGGGTGAGATAAAAATGTTAAAGGTGTATTTTTTATAAAATGACAGTCCTTTAACGAGGCTAAAGCTTGTCTACGTACAAAACTGGCATTATGTCATGAACAATACCTGCTGACTCAATAAAAACGTGAAGACGGATAAAAAATGTGTTGTCGTTGTTGAGTCATTCATCCTGTTAGATGGGAGCTGAAAGGGGGGGGGGCCGGACCAAACAACCTCCATTAATTGGAAATGCAAAGATTCAGCCAAGGAAACAAAAAAGACATGACTCCAAAACTAGGGTTTGCTTTAAAGGTCCCCTATTATACTCTCTTTCAACAATATATTATAGGTCTCAGATATATAGAAAACATGTCTCTGAAGTGTTTGGTTCCAAATACCAAACAGGTCATTGCAGCATCCCATAATCCCCTCTGTTTCAGCCCTGTTTCCAAAGTGCTGATTCTCTGTCTGTTACTTTAGATGAAAATAAGGAACCACTCCCCACGCCCCTCTGAGAGACATTTGGTTAAAAAGAACACAATAGCCACATTTTTTTCACACCGAGTACTTTGCCCAGCACTTAGTGCCAGCACTTAGTACCCCCATGGAAGTACACTGAACAAAAATATAAATGCAACACTTTTGTTTTTGCTCCCATTTTTCATGAGATGAACTCAAAGATCTAAACCATTTTCTATATACACAAAATAACCATTTCTCTCAAATATTGTTCACAAATCTGAAAAAGTCTGTGACAGTGAGCACTTCTCCTTTGCCGAGATAATCCATCCCACCTCACAGGTGTGGCATATCAAGATACTGATTAGACAGCATGATTATTGCACAGGTGTGCCTTTGGCTGGCCACAATAAAAGGACTCTCTGAAACGTGCAGTTTTATCACACAGCACAATGCCACAGATGTCGCAAGTTTTGAGGGAGCGTGCAATTGGCATGCTGACAGCAGGAATGTCCACCAGAGCTGTTCCCCGTGAATTGAATGTTCATTTCTCTACCATAAGCCGTCTCCAAAGGCATTTCAGAGAATTTGGCAGTACATCCAACCGGCCTCACAACCGCAGACCACGTGTAACCACACCAGCCCAGGACCTCCACATCCAGCATGTTCACCTCCAAGATCGTCTGAGACCAGCCACTTGGATAGCTGCTGCAACAATCGGTTTGCATAACCAAAGAATTTCTGCACAAACTGTCAGAAACCGTCTCAGGGAAGCTCATCTGCATGCTCGTCGTCCTCATCGGGGTCTCGACCTGACTCCGGTTCGTCGTCGTAACCGACTTGAGTGGGCAAATGCTCACATTCGATGGCGTCTGGCACGTTGGAGAGGTGTTCTCTTCACGGATGAATCCCGGTTTTCACTGTTCAGGGCAGATGGCAGACAGCGTGTGTGGCGTCGTGTGGGTGAGCGGTTTTCTGATGTCAATGTTGTGAATCGAGTGGCCCATGGTGGTGGTGGGGTTATGGTATGGGCAGGTGTATGTTATGGACGACGAACACAGGTGCATTTTATTGATGGCATTGTGAATGCACAGAGATACCGTGACGAGATCCTGAGGCCCATTGTTGTGCCATTCATCCACGACCATCACCTCATGTTGCAGCATGATAATGCACAGCCCCATGTTGCAAGGATCTGTACACAATTCCTGGAGGCTGAAAACATCCCAGTTCTTGCATGGCCAGCATACTCACCGGACATGTCACCCAATGAGCATGTTTGGGATGCTCTGGATCGGCGTATACGACAGCGTGTTCCAGTTCCTGCCAATATCCAGCAACTTCGCAAAGCCATTGAAGAGGAGTGGACCAACATTCCACAGGCCACAATCAACAACCTGATCAACTCTATGCGAAGGAGATGTGTTGCACTGCGTGAGGCAAATGGTGGTCACACCAGATACTGACTGGTTTTCAGACCCCCCCAATAAAGCAAAACTGCACGTTTCAGAGTGGCCTTTTATTGTGGCCAGCCTAAGGCACACCTGTGCAATAATCATGCTGTCTAATCAGCATCTTGATATGCCACACCTGTGAGGTGGGATGGATTATCTCGGCAAAGGAGAAGTGCTCACTATCACAGATTCTTTCAGATTTGTGAACAATATTTGAGAGAAATGGTTATTTTGTGTATATAGACATTTTTTTAGATCTTTGAGTTCATCATAAAAAATGGGAGCAAAAACAAAAGTGTACAGATCGCGTTCACACTGGAATAAGTCCCTGAGGGAAGATTACGCAAATGAAGTCTTCTTCTTCTTCTTCTTCTTCTTCTTCTTCTTCTTCTTCTTCTTCTTCTTCTTCTTCTTCTTCTTCTTCTTCTTCTTCTTCTTCTTCTTCTTCTTCTTCTTCTTCTTCTTCTTCTTCTTCTTCTTCTTCTTCTCTTCTTCTTCTTCTTCTTCTTCTTCTTCTTCTTCTTCTTCTTCTTCTTCTTCTTCTTCTTCTTCTTCTTCTTCTTCGGGTTTACTGGCAGGCCGCAAACCACTTCACGGCGTATACTGCCACCCGAAGTCCCCGGCCGGAAGTCCCCGGAGTTGGGGGAGTCCCAGCAGCTTCTACTGAAGCCTTCCGAGTAAATCGCCAGAACGCCGACACCTCCTCATCTCCACCGTTCCCATGTTTTCTTTTGTGTTGCCATAAGTTAGTCTCTCTGCGTTGGTGCGCGGGGCTAATGCTAATAATGCTAATGCCATCAAATACAATGGCGGCTTCACAAAACTTTTCAGAGTTTTACGGGGCGTGGTTTGCAATTCGCCCAGCCAATCAGAAATTGGTACTTTTTTCTCCCCAGAATAGTACCACCTCTCTATCAGGCACTAAATAATGGGGGTAAAAGTTCTCGGAACTAAGTTCTCTTTTTGGTGTGAACCATAGACGGTGAGGCTCAGGTTTGGGAAGGCTAAATAACTGTTTTTACCTGACGCTGCCCGACTCCGGCGTCTATAGAAAAGAGATCAACTCTCAGTGAAAGCACCGCATGCTGACCAATCAGAGCTCAGTGTGCGGAGTTTAAATCTATCAAGTCATATTACAGGATAAAGGAAATACAGTTTAAACTGCAGTATGCAGAGAAGACGCCGACGTGTCGCACTTATCATTCATATCACATCATCAATCAGATCATCGATCATATAATATCATAATATATCATATATTTCCTTATCTGAGACAGCTTCTCGAGCCGTATCTGGCCATGCAACACTTACATTGTAAGTTTTGTAACATAGCCGACTGTATGCAGAAGTATTATTTTAAGCAACACATTAAGTTGACGAAACACTCAACTCAAATGTAATTAAAGTCAGATCCACTCGTGTCTTAGATGGGGCAGTGATGTCATAAACCTGTTGTACGCTTTCAAACACTAGTTTATTTATTTTTTAACCTTGTTCTATATTCTGCATAGCAGCGCTAATGTCAAAGACACAAACATTATATTTTTATTTTACCAGGATCAGGATGCGACAAAAATATTTGCCTACAGTACCCGCCGCCCCTGGGGCCTCATTTATAAAGGGATATACGCTCAAAAAATGGCGTACGCCAGTTTCTACGCAATGTTTGCGATTTATAAAATACTAACTTGACGGGAAAACGTGCGGTCCTCCACGCAAACTCTAACCCATGCGTACGCACTAAGCACAAACACGGGAGAGACGAGAAACTGCGACACCGTTGGCAGAAGGAAGAATGGAGAGAAATATGTGGAAATAATACCATAAATAAAATGTTACCTCTC